TGCCGCCTCTGACGTCACGCTCCTCGATGCCGACCTCCTGGTCATTGCCGATGACGGACCCCGGCTTCTTCTTCTGCAATCCAGATCCCCCACCCCCGCACCCCACTGACACTTCTTCAGCGTGACCTTGGAGCTGCTGCTGGAGACCTGGTGCCGGCTCCGGATGGCGGCAGCCTGGTGGTAGCCTGGAGTGACCTTGAAGTGGCTATGAATGCCCACTGCTATACTACTATTGTCATCAGTATTAACAAAATATATTAATGCCGTACAAAAATTTTTCACAGAGGGAAATTAATTTTCCTATAGTAAGCACATGTTTCAAGAAAAATGTGCGGCACTGCCAAAAATGTCATTATTTTATAAAATAGAATTAAAATCAGTGAATTTGATGTTAGTTCAAATCACCCCTCCATACGCTACTTACAAATAGAGGGTTGCACCCTGTATTCCTAACCTCTGTATCAGCAAGTACGTACGGCGTCGCTTAAAAATTTATCTATGTATCGATCCGAAACTTGCAGTATAAATGCCGTACTGTAATAAGTCACCAAAACCCGGGCCAAAATTTTCGGAAAATCAAACATTTTTCTGGCTTCCGGTATTACTATTTTTGTACGGCATTAGATCGAGGTTCATTTTTTTATATAACCTAGTGTACTTTAGAAATGCCGTACAAAAATGTTTTACCGACAAGAATTGACGGCATAGTTTCTAAAGTTATTGTTTATGTGGTAGTATTGATTTATAAGTAATTCATGCTGGGTCAAATGACCCCATGAAAATTTCCGATGGGCTTGTAGTCTATTACCTCGCACTCCTCGATCGGACCGTGAACGTAATTGATCATTCCGATCCTGTTTTTAAGAATATCATATTTATAACTATTATTTTTACAATTTTTATCAGATTTTTGTTTATAGTTATTTACTACCTGTGTCAGTTTTTTTTCTTTTTTTAAAGAACGCAATATTTACGGAGATAACACTTCTGTTTTGCTTAAAAATAAAAAAAAGAATACCTTTTGAGATAAATGACCTTCACAGCACTAAAGACAATAGTTCGACGTATCGTCAGTAAAAATTTGTAATTTTTTTATAGATTAACAAAAAAATTACGAAGAGTTAAAGTGAGAGGTGTCAATTTTGTAGGCAGAAAACCGTGATTTTTTCAACATTTTCATTAATAACTGAAAAGTGGGATAACGAAAGTAACTGAAATTTTAGCACACAATAGAGTAATAGTAATTTTTCGCCCCTACGTTTTCTTAATATCGATTTTCAAACTCAGGGGTCTATTTCATTTATTTCGATAGTAATGCCTATAGATGTGCCTCTTATAATTCAATAATTCTATAATTTGAAATACCGTGTTTTATATTTTCTGTTTTGTCAGTTTAGTTAGTTTCTAATGATAGTTTTATCTTCATTTGTACCATATCTTTTGGCAGAAATTATTGCACAGTCATCGATGCAACCAAGTACTGTGAAACATTTATACTTTTTTACTATTCACTTATGTAGTCAGTGTATTCATAAATTGTTTTTATTATGTGCTACGATATACCCTTAGATA